AATCAATCAATCAATCAATCAATCAATCAAACTGAAGTGAAAAAGTTGTAACTTTATAGTGAACAAAGTCTCTATTATTCACAGTGAGTGACGTCTGGCAACCTCACACTGAAGGTAAGACTCAAGAAAATTGCCAGGGAATAGTCTCACACCTAACCCCCCTTAAAACCATAACTTGTCATTTAATCTCTTCTGATTTTTGTTATTTGGACAAAGCCAGTTCAACCATTTCCCTGGTTCCAGTCTTACCGTTAAGCTAAGCTAACTGGACTCTGGCAGATAGGTACAAAGAGTGTTATCTCATCATCTAACTCTTGTCAAGGAAGATTGTTTACCAGATTGTCAAATTACTCCTTTAAGGAGCTGAGAGAGACTAAAGAAATGTAGGAGGTTGGCTCAAGGGGCAACTTACGGCACTTCATCTCGTCGCTCATGTCACCACAGTCATTCCAGCCATCACACTTCAGCTCTTTGGCGATACAGATACCAGAGTTGCAGGTGAACTTGTCTGGGCAAGCTGCTTACAAAACACAGAAAAGAGCAAAGGAGGAGAGCGAGGAGGGGAGGAAGATGACGACAAATTGAGCAAGAGGGAGTGACAGTGTATGTTCACAACATCCGTCATGATGCCAAGGCTTATCCCTGCTGATCAGAGCAATTATAAATCCATTTCGGTCAAAGTGGAAGACAACATAAAAAGCAGAGGGAATTGAAAGCAGAGTGCCCGTGACTGACAGTGGCAAATAAAAAACAGACCCAATAAACAAGCTCTCTGGTGATTAGTATAGCTCTTGAGTTCCAAAGCCACAATTTCTAAGCCTCTATCACTATGTGTCAGTCAGCCGCTGTCTCGTAGTCTCTCTCAGACCACACAGTTTCTCCCCATCTTGCTTGTTAATGGCAGGCTATGAGAGTCACTGTCACATCGCAACATTTCCCCATCTCACAAAGTGTGTAAATGCTGGTGCGAGACAAGGCTCAACTCACGGTTTGTGGGATCATAGGCGCTGTACTCAGCACTGAAGCCTTTGTCAGTGTAGGACTCATCAGAGTGGAAGGTCACTTCTAGGATATTGCTGTCACTGGTCAGAGCCAAAGAGGATATTTCTCCACAATATCTGTGGCAAAAGATCAATGTTTAAAGGAAAATTTGGGTTTTTATTTTTGTAGTTCTAATGGTTACGATGGCAAAGCTAAAAGCGCCTATGTCATATCTCTCAAACAATACCAACATCTAAAAAGATTTTATATGCAGGTAAAATCAACATCGACTTAAATGTTAGCTCTTGCACAGGAAAACTGTATGTGCATGCACAAATATGGCAAGAGCCTCAGGTTTCATTTAATATACTCACAGACAAGTAAAATACACAAGATAGGCCATTTAAATGAGTTAAGTCTTACTTGGTGCCCAGAACCTCCACGTAGTCTTTGTGACACACACGGACGTCCACGTCAGGCTCTTTCACGCGGAACATGGTGAACGTCACCCGCAGCTTGCGCCCTTCTAGGACCTGCAGCACAGAGAAAGAGGTGATTGGCTCATAACAACCTTATTTATCATCCATGTCACTCTTCCACCTGTGTAAAAACACATGTATCTCTATCCCATGTAAATGCAAGCATACAAAAGGCAACACGCCCAAACAGGCAGTGAGCATACACTTAAGTATAAACACATATGGCACAAAACACACAAAGCTCTGCAGCTTATCTAGAGCTGCAGCAGCAACAGCAGTTTGAGAGATGAAGCTAGAAGAGGTACTGAACAGCTTGGCTTACATAGTGCTGCCTCAGCATTCCTATCATGGCAGGCTAAGGATGGTGAAGGGTGGGGGCTATAGGGAGCAGAACAGTGTTGCAAACCTTGATGGTCCACTTGCAGTCCATATTAGGAGGATAAAAGCTGGGGTAAAGGGGGGAGGTGAAGACTCCTTCATTTTCAGAGAGGACGCCACCACAGGTTTTTACTGAAAAGAATGTCATAAAATCACATTCTTGCATACCATTTAAATATAAACCAAACTATACTAAATGCACTTGTAGATAAAATATAGAATGCAACTGGCAAACAGATGATGTTGAATGCTGTGAATATCAACTTAACTACCTTTGGACAGGGGGATGGCTCTGTAGTGTGCCTCAAAGCCAGGTCTCTGGACCTCCGTGTCAGTAATCAGATTAATCAGCATGATGTTGCCAGATGACACCACCTCCAGGGGATTGGAGGGGGGCCTCTGACCACACTTCCTGTGAAAGGAGGGCGAGATGATGCAAACCACAAAACACCTTGTAGTAAACACAACCTTGAAGCATGAATGTCTGATCCATTTAGTTAACGGAGCTGTACGGTTCTTTATCGTGTGTAACACTAAGTAAAGTAATCCAGCTGTAATTCCTTTTAGTCACAAACACTAACATCAACTTAACAAAACAAGATTAAAATGTAGGAAAAAATAATTTGAAAAGAAATCAACATTCAAGCATAGAAAGTGATCAATAGGGAGAGATGTGCCAGCACTAGACAGAAATTGCTTGAGCAGAGTTTTAAAGTAAAACATTAGGAACATTAGCAAAAAGTCCCAATGTTGCTGGTGGCTGAGCCATGAAAGTGTGAATGACGCCACACGAGCAGCAATACATCTACCTTCAGTAGGATAATGTCATTATAGAGTATTGCATTATGGTTCTCATAAACCTCATGTCACCTTGGATAAAGCTGATCGCTCAATAGCATTATAAAAAATGTATGCATCACTTGGTAACGCATATTTGTTTGGCAACAGTTTCTGAGTTGAAATTGCCTCTAGCTACAACTGATGTTGCATTCAGAAGCCTGCAGACTCATACCCCCTCCCCCACAGATATAGTGCAATTACACATAGTTGTGTAGCACGATTCAGGTTGGCACCCTTCACAGATTTGAAAGCAGAGGTCTTTTTGAGCCAACTCAATCTCACTGAGGTCTCAAAAGTTAACAATAAAATGGGACATGCAGCGCTAAAAGCTTCAGGGTCCAAAAAAAAAAAAAAAAAACTTGTAATCAGAAATTCAGTGAAAGGAATGAAATGGAACAAGCTTTCCACCCACACCAAAACAGCTTCTACTCCTAAATCCCTCCGCAACATTTTAGTCAAATGTAAAGATATTCCTGAGAGAATCATGCAGAACAATGTCTCCATTCTCTCTTGTCTTCAAGCCTAACTAAATAAGACAGCTGTTGGTTGAGCCCTATCAAACCAAAGATGCTGCCATGGTTTAGGGAAATTTAAGAATGGGAATCGTATCACAATTCGATGTACTGTAGGAGCAACAATGAGTTAATTTACTCCTTTTCTTTAAAATATAAAAAGCCTCTTAGGAGGGAGACATCAGTGCACAGAACACCACACGCCACACTGCTAGAAGTGATTATAATGGTAAAACCTGGTCCAATCATAGACAATTAACTTTAAAAAGCATCAGTATGACCTTTCACCATGGCCAGCATATTGTCCAGACCCACCCTATGACTTACTGTGTAATGGCCTGAGAATACTCTGGACTCAAAGAGTCATAGATGAAGACAAAATCATCCGAGCAGTAATCCTCGATGTGGAATTTAGGGAAACTGACAGATATGGCTTTGTCCGCTGCTGCTCGGATTTGCCACTGACACCGAGTTTTGGGGGGGTGGCCTGTGGGGAACCCTGGCGATGTAAATATCTGCATCTTGTCTTCAGCTTTCAGCAGGTTGAAACATCCCACTGGAAAAACAACATTTATATATCACACTATGAAACTATGCACTAGCAGTTTATAGTTAGTAACTTCTGTATCCTCTGCTGCTTCTTTTCACAATTTTCATAAGAGATGATGACAGTAAATACCTTTCATTTTGTTTGTCTTCTTTCCTTTTCATCTTTTTTTTTTTATGAAAATCAGCTTTGCATTACAAATAACACTATGTAAACACTATGTAAACAATAGTTCTTCCATCTGTTATACTATAGATTAATGTACTACTGTGGTGATGTGATGTAGTCTGATCTTTACAAACCACCACACAGTGTCAAGGCAAAGTAACCGTCAAGCCCCGGCCTGATACAGGGGTCTCAATCTCTGCCTAGAGCAGCCCATGTACAGTACAGGCCAGACCAGCCATTCGTTACTGACTGGCAGGGGAGCGAGAATCTAGCCAGCTGGAAAATTACAGCTGGGAGTGATTGAAATGGGACATGCTGTACTCACTGTCTTTCGGGTTCCTGACCATGCGAGGATCTGTGACTGGAGACAGAGAGAGAGTGGCAGAGAAACAGGAGGAAAGGTAAGAATGGGTTACTAAAGTTGGGAGCCTGATAGAATTTGATGTATGAGCCTAAAATATTTGGGTTGCACATTTTCTGTTCCATTTCCCTGTGGTTAAGGGAAGCGGTGATGGTGTGTGTAGCTCTTTCTGCTCCATCTCACCTTGTCCTACAGCAGCAACTCATACAACTCTGTCTAAATATATGGGACAGCAACATCAAATCATACCCACAGAAAGCATTTTAAATAGGACCAAAACCAGAGTCATAGGGCCGGTGCATGGCTGGTGGCCAGCAAGTGGACACATGCAGTGTGAATGCTGAGAAGACAGAAGGAAGAAAAATGCCTGGCTCAAGCCAGAGCCAGGGCCCAGCTAATATCATTAAAGGATCCAAGAAGCATAAAATGTGCCATCTCAGATGCAGCACAAGCAGAGAGGTCTGGCCCAACTGTTATCATCCAATCAGCACAATTTAGAGCAAACTACAATCACACAAATAGAAAACATACAGAATAGCAATAGTGATAAAAGATGACAATGACCTCATGAGATCTGTATTCACAATTCTTTATATTTGCTGATTGTTAAATGTCATATTGTGGAATCAGCTGTAGTCATCTCTGTCTGGTGGTACCTACGTAAGGCCGTGACTTCACTGATCTTGATATCCATGCGGCTCATAACACTGCGCTGTCCCTTGGTGCTGCCCCCCAGCGCAGTCATCACCAGCTGCTCTGAGAACTTCGGCAGCATTTCCAGGTCACTTGCAGGAATGTCAAACTGGGACCAGTAGTAGGCTTTCACTCCCTCACTAGTGCAAGCAAAGATGAGAGAAAAATCGACAGAGGGTGGGAAGGGACAGCATGGAGAGAGAGTTCAGTAACAAGCTTCAACATTTACAGTAAGAAGCAGCAAAGATTAGCGGAACATGAGGTGTTTGGATCACTGTAAATCACAAAAAAAAAAAAAGAAAATTTGATGTGCTGGGAAAAGCAACTGATTTGAAACTTTTACAGGTCAGTACAACAAAGCTTTTCCATCAGAGAAGATTCTGTGTCATGTTTTTACATTGAGTTTTCACAAGCATTACAGCGGACGGTTCAGCGGTGCTAAAACAGTAGAGGAGCTTGAGAACTCAATAGTACCTGAATGCAGTGATCACAGAGGTGGTGTAGTATTTTGAAAGGAATGGATCCTTCTTGTAGTTCTCCTCCAGCTGTGGAGAGAAAATGTATTTTTTACTGAACAGAACAAGCACATGATTTATGCTTGTCTGCCTAAAGTACACATTAGCATGCAAACATAAAAAAAATAAAATAATAAAATAAAAACTACCTTCCATGCAAACAGCACACAACAATGGGGTTCTCAATTAACTGTCTTGCCTTTAAGCTGTGAACTATATCAGACAAGGCTGCAGTCACACTTAGTGCTTTTAAATGCGGGTCACTACCACATTCATATACAGTGTTAGCTAACTTCAGAGCAAGTGCTATTAGTGGAAAAAAATAAACAGCAACAACACAAAATGGTAAGAGAAAGTCAAAAAGAATCTGATCAAAAATGGGAGAGAACTAGCAGCAGAGACTGAACAGGTCTCATTTGTACTGTTACAGGTGAAGAACAAAAGTGATATGGTGGGAGAGAAATGTTCACAGAGCAAAGTGGTCAATTAGCATAAAATAAACATCATGATCAATTTCAAAATTACCATTTCAAAAGTCTAACTCAGAAATGTCAAATATGAACCCGCTGCCATTTTATTAAACCCATCTAGGAGACAGAATTTTCAAGGACTCCACAGACAGGTGGTGCTAGGGCGGAAGAACAAAGTTGTGGGACAACTAGTCAATCATCCCCAGTACTGCTTACTTGAAATGATACTCCACAAGTTAACCCTGCCATGTAAATGGTAACCTAGATCCAAACTGAGTCTTGAAACAGTTTTGTTGCATGCAAGTGCAAACCTAGTGCATCATAAAGCCTTCCCCCAATCATCAAGTCCTCTAAAATTCCAGTCCACCACTTCCACTCTAGTTCTCACCTAAATCCCTCACTGCTGTAGCTCTACACCGAGACCATGTGTGCTTAATGGGGTTTGAGCGAGGGCTTTTTGTTATCAACATGCTCCTAAGTGGTGCTACAAACATCTCCAATGCCTCCAATAATAGGAGATGCTGTTGAGGGAATAATTAAGGGGATGTACAGAGTTTTATTCCACCCACACAAATGGGCCTTTAGCAGTTATTCACTGGGAGGGGCATATTTAAAAGACAAGTCCACAGTATCAAACAGCATTCATATCTGATTCTTAGTGAGAGAAGAGAACTGAGTATAATATTCTGCCCAAAATAGTTAACACTCACAACTGCCTGCAGCTGGAGCGCCAAATCCTCAAATTCTTTGCTCTGGGGATCCTCCAGCTTCTGGTCATATGGTACATCAGCCAGCTTCATATGCCCAGTGAAGACCCGCACTGATGGGCTGTACTGGTTCTTAAGCATGACTTCTGACTCAGCATTTTTAACTTGGAGGACAGATGCAGAGGAGAGTTAAATATTTGATCAAGATAGTGCTACAAGATAGATTCTGATGAAAGAGGAGACAAGATTTTTAAAATGCCATGAAGAATTATTTTAAAGCTGTACAGAGTGATTCATAAAAAGAACACTGTTTGGCTTTCAGAGCAATTAAAACAGTTGAATCAGGAATCTGTTTATCAGGACTTCAGAGGCCATTTTATCAGAACCTGTATGTGTAAATGAGTCATTTCAATGACAGGGAAGCTGTACCACAAACTCTCTGACATTTTTCTCCTTTGCATTATTAAAGGAGAAAGTCAGAGCTGTCAAACAGGCTAACACTAATAGGAAATTATTAAGTCCAAACAAGCCACTCTTACACCCTTATACCAAAGAGCTGGGCCTTCACAGCAAATCCAAATTATCCACTTTTTTGATGTTATGCTTGTTTTGGCAGTAAACTGATTTTAACAGTAAATACTCAGAATATTTCATTTAATTCTGTCAAGATTATATTTATACTCATGTCCCATATCTGATTTTCTTAATTTTTATTTTATCCAAACATTAAAAAATGAACATTTATATATAAGGAATTAATAATACTGTTCTTCAAGTCTTTATTGTGGATGATATAATGGAGGAAGGTTTGCTATTATACTTACAAATAAACAGCCAAATGAGTAACGCTGCAACAGCTGCAAGTAGGAGAAGCGCCACAAGAACCCCGACTATGATGCCAGTCTTCCGCTTTGATGGCACCTTCTCTTTGCTGGTCAAGAAGTCGATCCGCTCATGCTGGCTTTTGTGGCCCTGGTGCAGCCAAAGGGCAAAACAGAGTCAACAAACATACAGTTCATGTTTTGGATAGATATTTATTTTGATTGCACTGAACTTGCAGCGAGAGGTACATCCCTGCAGTGTGACTTGAGTCATAACATGAGATCATCAAATGCAGCTTTACAAATAAGTCTATAGTTTTATCTGAACCTTAAAGTGCCCATGACATGCTTTTCCATTTTCTGACTTATCTACAATGTTACAATGGTAAATTATCATTGTAAATGTGATGTATAGCTCAAAATATGAGGTGTACGTACTGTATGTTCTAGTACTTCTTTGCATAAGCAACTCTGTTTATACAGGTCTTGCAAACTCTCGCTTGCACTTTTTTTCCTAACAATGTAAAGTCTTACACAATAGTTTAAGGACCTCCTTGAATGGTCTTAATCTCCAGGCAGTTACAAGTTCATGTGAGCTTACCTGACATCAACTGGTACCATTTTAAAAGTGACTGCATGCGGTTTTGTGGATATATTTTACCTCCTGCTGCTGCTGCACTGTGACCGGAGAATATGGAGAAAAATACAGGGCCTGAAGTTACTGTATATGTGGGAATGTTCCTGTATTGGGACTCGCTGTTTTACCTGACTGGATCCCAAAAATACAGGGCCTGAAGTTACTGTATATGTGGGAATGTTCCTGTATTGGGACTTGCTATTTTACCTGACCGGGTCTAACCTACAAGCAGCCAGCCAGTGAAGCCCTCCATGGCGGTGAATGATCAGATCATCAATGCTGAAAGGGAGTGATGTTTCCACTGCTGGGTGGGACTTTGCAGCATGTGATGTGTTGCTGGTTAAAGGAGTGGATTAACCATCCATGATGTTATTGTCTGTGTAATTTCACTACTTTGGGACTGTATGTGGTCGTGTGGGGGAAGACTCAGCGACCAGCGGTTGGATTTACCGACCTTGGAGCTACTTGAAAGGGAGTGATGTTTCCACTGCTGGGTGGGACTTAACACTAAGTTTATTAAAAAAAAAAAAGTTTGCATGTCTGTTAATGCCTTGTTTCTGTAATGTTAGAGAGAATTGTTGTAAGGCTGGAGAAGGTACTATGTCTGCATTATGCCAGCTAAAATATGGGTTTCACAATTACCCACTTTGTTTAGAGTGTTACAAATCTTTTTTCATCAGCACATATTCTGTTGTTTACCCATCTATGGAGGAGAAATTCAAATTATTTAATTCTGTTGCAGTTCATCGTACTGTTCATTTTCATATTCTGGCTCGAACATGTCATGTAGGATTTGAGGTACTGTTTTTGTCCATACTGAATTATGGAGTCAAGAGTTAGCAAACCTGGAGTCCAGTAAGTGCAGATGTGGGTTAGAGTTACTGTGCTGACATAAAAACACACCAACATTTTAAGTTTCTTGTTCACAAAAAGTGAACCATGCCTCACAAAACAAGAGATCACAAAGGACTTGGACCAAGAATTGTTGATTTGTATAAAACTGGAAAGTGTTCAACTAATCTCAGTTTAGATGTTCTTCAATCAACAGTCAGTCAAGCTGTCTACATGGAGATGATTTAGCATTGTGGCTACTCCACCTACAAATGGGTGCCAAGATGACTCCGGAGGCACACTGCAGAATATTCAAAAGGTGTTTTGTTAACCAACTACATAGTACATTTATAGACAGGTTTGTCTGACTGAACTGTGCTGCTGAACTATGACACAAAACAGCAGAAAATAATATTTGAAACATCTTAGACTTCTTTCCAAGAGTTCAAACACAGTTTGTACTCGGTTTTCAAAACTGGTCAAACCTGAGTAGTAAATGTGACAGAGCTCCCACACTCAGACCTGACCTGCATGTAAATATAGAGTGCCTGCATAAAACACTGAGGCCTCATTCGTTATTGTGTTGTTGGTGTGCAAGAACATATCCATACACTTGAGTATTGTGATATTACGTTTTGCAATTCTGTATCCATTCTCAAAAACACAAAATCAACTTTTACTTAACAGTTCACATACCAAGTCGTACTGTGTTGCTGGGTGTTTCAGGGTGCCAATACACATACCAACTGTGTTGTAGATATTAAATAGACAAATTGCTCGTCTACACTCACCGTAATAACCCATAATGACAGGGTTATTACGCTTTTCTGAAATTTTACTAAATCTATATAAAAAAAATCTAAAACTGAAATCTCTCTTTACCAAAGTACCCAGACCCTTCATTCAACACTTTGTAGAAGCCTTCCTGGCAGCAATAACAGCTGTCTGTCTCTTCAGTAAGTCTCTACAAGCTTTGCACATCTGGATTTGAGCAGTTTATCAGTCCTGTGCACTCTGAAGCAGATTTTCTTCAGGGACCTCTCTGCACATGGCTGCATCCAGCCTTCCCTCAGCTCTGACCAGTCTTCCAGTCCATGCTGCTGAAAACCCCATAGCATGATGCTGTCACCACCATGCTTCAGGAGAGAGATGGTATTATTAGCAGGTGATGAGCAGTGCCTGGTGTGCACCAAACAACAGTGCTTGGAGTGCTGCCCAAAGGATTACATTTTGTTTGGCAAACTCCAAGCAGGCTATCATATAACTTTTACACAAAAAGACATCCAGCAATTCAACCATAAAGGCCTGATTGATGGAGAGCTGCTGAGATGGTCATACCCCCCAGCAGGTTCTCCCATCACTGCAGAGGACTCCTGAAGCTGTTAGAGTTACAGTACCCTTGGATTCCCGTTTGCCTTCCAGATCAACGCTCTTTTTGCCCAATGACAGTTGCTGCTCTGTGTCTCGGCAGATACAATACACCGATCATCCAGCAGGAGCAGCACAAGTCATGGTTATAGTCATGTCAGGTGATTTGTTCAGTAGAAATGAAAACTGCTATGAAAAAGGAGCAAAGGGTCTGAATACTGTTGTAAATTAGACATTTCAGTTTTTGATTTAACAAATAATTTACAAAAAAATATAAAAAGGTTTCCCTTAGTCATGGGTGTATGATGGCAGTTGTTTCCAATTCAATTCTACTACATAAATTGTGCAAAAAGTGAACAAGTCTGAACACTTTCTGAACATGCCATTGGACATACATTTCAAAAACTGCATGCTAACCTAGGGACAATCTTGTAGAGAATATGGGCATGGTGCTTTATTGCACGTTTGTGTTGGTCGATACAGTACTTTGTGTCTGTTGTTTAACCCCCTCAAGTGGGCGGACTAAGAGAAAGGTTTCAGGCCAGCTAGTAATCAACACACAATGAATTCAATGCCTGTAGCCCATGACTGAAGAAGCCCAAGTGCCATTAGGGATGGAGAATCGCTTTGGTATTAAATCAATTTGTCAGATGTGCTGCCCCTTAAGATGGGGGCTCAATTACAGGAGTTTAGATGATAACTCATGGCAATTAAGGCCTATTCTTACCAGGCTCAGGCTTCCACACATTCTTTCTAATTGGAAGCTCTAACAGCAATCATGGGTCAGGATGAGGGGAATCATTAGAGATGGGGTCAGCAAGTGCTCTAGGGTCTGTCTTTCTCTCTCTCACCCTGATCAAAGTATAATAAAACCATTACGTGCTTTTCATCACATCCCATTCTTCACTCCTAGGGAAAAAAAGAAGTATGATTTTTTTTTTTTTTTAAATATGTTCAGACTTTTTTTATTTTTAATATGAGCTCAGTATGCTATGCCATTATTAAACAGGAAACAGTGGTCTGTTTCACAATCATGAAAAAGCTGCAGCATGCTGATGCAAAAACAAACAAAAAAAGTTATATTTGACAAAACTGGCTGAGCTGCAAAATGGGCTCCAGTTTTGGCAAAGTCAAGATCGCTAGTAGACATCCAAACTCAGCTTCTACAAAGGGTGTGTACAGTAAGAACCTAAACCAGTCAGACAAGTAGGAAACACATTACCAGTGCTGTGAGGTGTGGTTTAAGAAAGTAAAGTTGCTCCAACGGCATGTAATTTCAACACTGCTCTATATTAACAATTATTTCTCATACTAATCCACATCACCTGTCAGTGAACGCCATAGAGGTGATATTTCATGTTTTGCAGTACAGAGTGTTTAAGTAAACTTTGAAGCACTGGCACATACTGTAACTTATTCCTGTTTACTGGACTGTATATTCATCTGATGATCACATTTACAAGTACATGCACAACAAATTATAAAATACAAACATTACAGGAGTAGTAAGCATATGCCACCCTCACCATTTCCTGTATTTAAATACGTTTCCTGGTTTAAAGCATCAAAAACAAAGCCTGACGCTCAAACAGTATTTGTTATGTGGATTATTTTGGTTCAGTTCTCAGCTGACCCATAGGAAAGGCATAAGAAAGGGGAAATAATGAGCATGAGAAGCAAAGACTGAGAAGACATTTAACAGAATTCAAACCAAACTGATTATATATATATATATATATATATATATATAT